AATATATATATATATATATATATATATATATATATATATATATATGGTTGGTTGCATGAAAAAAAAATGTAGAACATTATCATTAACGACCATGAAATCTCACCATAGTCGATTTGTCAGGAAAGTAACTTCTTGATAATATCGAACTAGGAAGGTAATCCCAGCAGGCAGCACCGTTGAAAAGTTCTTTAAAAACATGTGATGACAGAATGACCCAATTCTTGTGTGTTAAGGAAACTGTTTGAAAGTTACAAGTCATCATAACTGATTATTTGGACATGGTGGCCTTGTTTAGCTTCTGATTTCTCACAAAAACACTAAGCTCTGGTCAGGCGTAGTCAGTATAAAACACAGGTTGGCTCTGTAGGATACAAATGTGCCTGACTAGGCGTTGGCAACAGGGATTAGCTAACAACCCTAACAAAGGATATATTTGGAAAATGAGCAATTAGTAATTCCTGAAGAATCAATGGATTTCTTACCTGAAACCATGTCCTACCACTCTAAAGTATACTGCCCGATCTCTTTGCAAGCAATGTAAAACACACCAGATGGTGGTTTCTCCTACAAAGGGGGACACAGATTTTAACTCTGTTGAAGGACACATCTTTTAAGTTTATCAAATACACTGGTTAGTAGATGTAATAAACGCTCTTTATAAGAACAGGGCATCAACTCAAATATTGGTATCCACAAAATAGTGTTCAGAGTGAGATATATATATATATATATATAATAGCTGGCCACATGTATTCGAGGATACCCATCTACCAGGGCAGCTAGCCAATCCCTATTGCAGACTCTTGCTCAGGCACATTTGTGTTTATTCAATACCCACAGAGCCATTATGTGGTTTATACTGCAACTATACTGAGCAGACCTGAGTTACAGTTTCTGGGAGAGAGCATGTTATCTAGCAGGTTCAACAATCTGAACAATGCCAGCACACTCAAACACTTGGTCATGATACCTTGTGTCTTCGTGCTAGCACAGCTAATGATGGCCCTCAAGTGTTCTGTCTACCCAATTTCATTTACAAGGCTTGGGTCAACTCGTGGTATGGTTTTCAGGCACATTCTAAAGGTGCCACACGCTGGGAAGTCTCATGGTCAGAAAAGCGAATATTATAACCACTCAGTCATGTGCCCATATATATATATATATATATATATATATATATATATATAAAACATAAATTGAATATCTTCTTATTGTCTATTTTATTCAATTTCTCTTCTATACAGATTTATTCTGAGAACTTTAACACTCTGTCGACATGGGAAACAAAAACACATTCTTAGTCAAAACAAAAAAAATGAATAGATACTAATATCCAAAAAGGTGCTTACATAACAGCGTCTTTTTAAAATTTTTGAATTTCATGTAACTACACAACATTTTGCTTTTGTTTATCATCACTTGCCTTGATAAAGTCAAATGATGAAATGGGTGGGCATGGACTAAGTACTATTTCTCAATTGACTACTTTATTCAATTCATATATATATATATATATATATATATATATATATATATATAACATCAATAAAAGTTGATGTTACAACAAACAGTGCACTGTGTAAAATATAAAAAGATACAGAGCAAACTATAAATGCTGATAAAAGCAACTTAATTTGACCTTTCAGCTGCCTTCGTGACTTTAAGTTTCATATACAGTTAAGTGAACTTCACCAAACACAATCTTCAGTCTGTGAGGACGGGAGAGTACAATTGTACTCTCCTTCCTGACCGCCTGAAGATTGTGTTTGGTGAAGTTCACTTCCCTGCATATGAAACGTTAAACAATTGGTTTTGAAAATTTGAAAGGTCAAATCAAGTACCTTTTATCGACACGCATATACACACACACACATACACATATATATATATATATATATATATATATATAAAAACACAGTGTCATGCTCTTGCTTAATATATTATTTAAATATGTGGGTGTGGTGTGAACAAAATTTTATTACAGCCTTAAAAGCAGACATTTTAAAAGTATATATAATAATATACATAAATATATAAAAGAGAGAAAATATTGAGGAAAATATATAAAATATAGCCCTATCAGAGCCAATTGAGGACAAAAACAGGTGAATGTTGATGAAATAGGGGTGGGGAAAAAATTACTACCAGAGAATCAGCAATATAAATTAGAGTCAGATTACATTTAGGCATAACAGCCATTACTTCTAGAGTGAAGCCTGCTTTTACTTAATATAAAGTTCTTGGAAGTATTTGTTTTATATATTTTTACATATATTTATATATACTTTTTTTTAAAAGCCCTAATAATATATTATTTCAAAAAAAATTGTTACAGTTATATTTAAATAAAATTTTGTGAATTTCCCACCTTTGGCTACAGGATGTTGCTGTCTTAAGTGAAAAATCAATTGTAGCTCATCTTAAAGAATTTCGAAAATCTTTGTTTTATCAAGAAAATTTGTAATTGTTGAAAATAGTTCATGTGAGAAAATATTTTGTGGCAAAGGCAGTTTTGTTTCTTCTGTAGGCAAACAAAACAATTGTCAATGAGTATTTTCGAGTGAAAGTAAAAAATTATATCTTTCATAACAAAAGTGTGGATAATTTTTACTTATCCTCATAGGATTGAAGTTTTAAATCTTCTGAATGAGCTTCCTTTTTCACAAATGATTCCTGTTATGAAAAGAAAAAAAAGAAATTAAAATTTTGTTTTATATTACATACTTTCTTATATATGTAAGCAGTTCTCCACTGAATTGGTTTAGATTTTTGTTTTTTTAGTTTTTCTTTTACATGATTTGTTTCTGTTTCTCTTGATTTCTTTTTCTGACTGTAAATGAAATGAAAAATTCTTGGTAGTCATTTTCTCAATTTCTTAAAATTTTATTTTGTATTTTTTTCCCAGAATGCAATTGGATATTTTTCTGTTATTGTCATGTGTCTGTTTTGTTGACATTTCATTTTTTTCTGCAGCATTTCTTTTAACTCATTGTAATAAATCTCTGACCATCTCAAGTCACTCATGCAAATATTCGTCTCACATCGTTTCTTTGTATTCATTCTTTTTATTATTTATTTAAACAAAACAAAATCAAAAAAAACAAAAAACTGCACACTCTTTTGAAGGCCAAGTTTGTTTCTAATTTTTATAAAACTCAATTTTGTAATTTGGTTTAACTGATTTGAAAAATGGGTCACTTGATATCAAAAGTTCATTTTTAACAAAATATGACTTTATATAAAATTTTAATAAAATCCATTAAAAATTCTCTGCAATATTTTTCCTTTCCAAATCATTTAATTTTTTATCTATTCTAAAGTGTGAAAATATTTCAGTCAATCTGCTAAAAAAAATACGTTTAATAATGATTGGCATATTTTTCTAAAAAAAAAAAAAAATAATAATAATAATTTTGCAAATTCTTTTTTGACATTTCTCAAACTCTTTCACGTTGTTGGTAATAAACCAAAAATTCAGAAAACTTATATTTTTCAAAATGCAAACAGTAATAATGGAAATATTTTTCTTGTTTTTGCTTTTGTTTTTAAAGGTTTTTTTTCTTTCTGTCTCCTGTCACCAGTAATGCAATCTGTTGCAGGTGGACATATCAAAACACTAATAAAAGATGCAAGTTTTTATTGATGTATGCATTCATGCAAAAGATTTAGTCACAAGAGTCGAGTAAATTGAGATTTTTCATTTTTATCATGTCTGGGTTTTTGCTATCTTCATTTTTTTTTTTTTTTTTTTTATCCACAAAATAATTTTCCATTTCCATATTCAAATGAATATAGGCAATAAGAAATCATTCGAATGACTGAACCAACGAAAGTCCAACTTCAGATTTCAACCAATAAGGAATCAGGCTGCAATAACAAGAAATAAGAACAAAAAGCATGCACACATGGTGAATGGTTCATATGGAAAATATCGCATTTATTAAAGTGTGAATCAAAACCAGCTTTATAAAGAAACATTATATTTACAGCTGGTATTCAGCATCAAACTAAAGAGTATTGGGATTCATGAATTGATGAAATAAAACGTTTTTTCCATTAGTATTTATTTCATCTTAATTTCACTTGCCTTTTAATCGCAACTCTGTATCTGCCATTTTACAGCCGTTCATAATACATATATTGTCATAATAAAATATTTGCCAGTACATTACATATCATAATCCTACATATTTTAATATGATGATCAGCATTGATTAGAAATAAAGAAATAAATTTCAGCAATTTTCCTTTATTTCAAATCCATTAACTGACGTAACGGGTTGTCCAAATATAAAATTGCAGATTTAAGTAAAATAACATGAAAAAATATCTAAGAATTCTTTTCTGATTCACATTGTTTATTAATTGCTGTCAAATGATGGTCTGACTAGTTGTTATGAGAAACAACTGAAATAGTGAAAAACAACGCTTCATCTAGTAATATTAAAACTGAAGATGATATTACTACTACTACTAATCATCATCATCATAATGTAAATAAAGCAACTTAAATTAAGAGATAAATACTAATAAAAAAATGGCAATGGCTGATCTAATTAAAAAAAAAAAAAGAAAGATTATTCTGATTGTCTTGAAGCTTTTGCACTGTTTATTATATCTTTTGAATCCAGATAAATCACATCAACCGTTTCTCAGCAGATTTCATTTTTGATAAATGTTTCCTCTATTCATAACTTTTAACTCTTAGATTGATTTATTTTTCTTATTCATTCATTTTTTACGGCCTATCAACATTTTTACAGGTTGTTTAAAGCTAAAAAAAAACTTTTAGATTGTAAGAATATTTTTGAGATACAGAAATGATTTAGTGATACAAGTCTTACTAATTAATCTATAGCTGGGGGAGAGGAAATGGATTTATACCATTCCCCAAGGGTATTTGTCTGTAAGTGAATATAATTAACCCAACTGGAATTGGAACTCAGCTATCCAATCAACAATTCTAAGCCATTATCCATTGCACCACCTGCACATCCAAGCTTACAGCATCTGGTATTCCCAAGCAGTTACCCATCTAGGTACTGACCAGTTTAAATGTTGCTTAACTTCGGTGATCGTACAGGTACCTGTAGTTTCAACGTGATATAGCTGTAAGTCTGTAACTCTTAGAATTGAAGATGATATGAAAAGTTTCGTGTATAGCAGCTATCTGATTAGATGTGTAAAATATTATTCAAAATAAATGATTGACAGCTAATTGTTCAAGCAGGCCATCGGAATTTGTCCTAAATATTCCCCAATCTTCGTCGCTAATATTACGTAATAGACTTCTTTTATTATTTCATCTCAAGTAAGGCAATAAAGCCACTAAGATGTAAAGGGGGGTTACTGAGTGTGAAAGACTATGAGAAATTGAAAGCATTATTAAAGGGAGAGAACAATAAAACAACAGGAATTAAGAAAACAAAAGATTGACATTGAATTTAAATTTTTGAAGATCAAAGTTGACTGGGAAGCAAGAAGCCAGAAATGAGTTCTATGAGCGAGAAGTTTTGATTTAAATAGTTTTCTTTTATTGAAATTTTCCGTAGAGGAATTTTACATTACGCCAGGGATTTATAGGTTTCCGTGGAACCCTGGGATTTCTCCTTTCATCATCAGAATTACAACAACCGTTTCTCATCAGATTATTTTTTTTTATAAATGTTTCCACTATTCTTAACTTGTAACTCAAGGGATTCATGGTTTCTGCGGAACTCTAGGATTCCTCCTCCTATCATCTGAGTTATAACAACAAATATGTATAAGTGATGCCATAATTGAAATGACAACAAAAAACAAAAAAAAAAAAAAAACAAAAAAAAAAAACAATTCCATTGCAACATCTTTAAATTTGGTATGAAAGAGAATTCAAATATTTCTGCAAAAGCAAGTTTCTTTTTTCCCGAGAAATTTAAAGAAATCATTTCCTGATGGTCGACAAAAAGTTGAGTAAGGTTATCAATATGGCAAAATTTTTATTTTTTGTCTTAAAATTGTAATAACAAATCCATCCCTTTTCCTCGTTTGATGATAATGGATTCTCTCATCGATTTTGATGTATGAGGATCTAATAGTTCCGTTTGAGAACTGAACCACCAGACTACCCATACGGATGATTTGATTATAGTGGGGAAGGCTTGTGTAGAATGAGCCACTCTTTGCGGAAGAACTTCTAATAGAGAAATGGTGCACAGTATACCATAAGGTCTTCAAGTAGCGCTTCTCAGGTTTGAATTCAGAGTTTACCTCTCCCTAAACAGGCTGATACGTAAGGCAAGAGAGCTTAGTCTGCCCTGCTATTTAACTTTGGATGACGAAAGATGAGTTCATGCCTTTTCCAAGGGCATTTGCACGAAGTGAAGAATGAACATGAATTTGAACTGGAATCGCCGTTTTCACCCTCTGCGCCGATAATCATTGCGCTACCTGCACACACGCACACACATACGCGCTATTACAAATGATTTGAATTGTGTTGTGACAACTGTCATATGAGCGTGGTTTTTAAATAAAAATTGCCAGGGTTTTTTTTTATTGATTTTAATGTGCAATATGGGAGAAAATAAGTAACGTTTTCATTATAAATTTTAAAATAAGTGAAAAAAATGCGAGTCATCCACCCCCAAAAGATTTGAGCAATTTGTGACAAAACTTATTACGAATGATCAAACGAGTAAAAAGTGGTTTACTAACTTTTGTGCTGCTGATTCCCCACTAAAATATTTAAATTTAAAAAGATAGTAGTTATCAGAGAGAGTTCCACGAGTTGGAAGTGCGAGAAAAGAAGCTGTTGGAGTAAAAATGGCTGTTGCATTTAGCTATTTCTATAGTAATACGGTGGGACTTAGTTGCCAATCTAGTAGCACGCTTAAATTCATGTAGTCGGGGCACCATGGAAAAAAAGTTTGTCAGAGCAGTTGGCATGAAAAGATTTGAAGAAAAAATAGAGGGAAAGCCCCGCCAGGTCGGTGAGAAAGTGTCTGAAATCGAGATGACTGGTTAGATTACACATCCTTCTTTGGAGTTTGTCAAGAATCTCGAGATGTACAAGAGGAGCACTAGACCAAATATGGCAACGGTATTCAATGCACCGACCAAGAAAAAAGATTCAGGCACGACACAGTGACCCAACTTTCCTTGCAGGAGATTCTAATAGTTTATTTTCTCGAATTTCTCGCCTGTGAATAATTGTGATTTGTTCTTTAGTTTGTGATCATTTTCATTTGCAGAACAAATTGCTTCCTTGTATATGATTGACAGATAGGTACTATGGGGATTACTCCCACTTTGCCCGCTAGGTGTCGTTCTATTAAGGATTATACAAAGAACGGACATAACACCTTTCTCTTTTGCTCCGGAATGTAGTAGTGAAAACAAGACTTCTCTTCGCCGAAGAAAATTTATGCCCCTGGCAGGCCGTTTTCTTAATTTCAGCCAGCCATGTGGTCCATCATGCATATATATTTCCTAATAGCAAAGCTTATAAATCTGTTTTCTTCTTTTTTCAGCTATTTGTGTACACACAAGTAGATTTTATCTCTTGCTGAATCATGTTATTCCTTATATATATATATATATATATATATATATATATATATATATATGAAATTGCAGATATATATATATATATATATATGACCATATGCTGACATTAATTATTTTGGAAAACGTTGAAATCATTTATTTTGAAAGTCTTTATCTTCGTTCAATACAAATTGCGACATTACAGTCGTACGAGTAAACATTACACTGAATGAGTTTACCATATATTTTGGATCAAGGTCTATAAATCATAAACTAAGAATTATTTAACGGGCTGAACTAACCTCACACAGGTCATAACCTGTTCATTTTGACCACAAATCGGCATAAAGTAATGTAATTACCTGTGCGTTTCATTGTTGTATTCGTATTGCGTGTAAAACTGGATGAATTACAAACATAATAATTATTAAAAAGTCTTGTATATTTTGGCGTATTTTCTGAATATCTTTGTGAGCCATCCAAACGATCGTTATTCGATCGTTATTCTAATTTCTAATTAAATGTTGATAACATATTTTATCAGTTTTGACTGGGCTTATTCTTTTGTCTTCATTGATAAATGTTATGATAACATATTTTATCAGTTTTGCTACAAGCTCATCTTATTCACAGTTTGTCTTCAGTTGAGTCATTGATTTGAGAAAAGATTATTTAAGAATTTTCCTAGAGTTCTTGACATCATTCAATGTTTAAATCTTTTCATTAACACCATAGTTCTGTTTTTAGAATGTTCTGGGTTAATTTGCTGTTCAATTCTTTCCTTTAACGAGCTTTTTTTTGTTTTTCAGTCCTTTGCTCTGCGTGGTTTCTCTGCGGCGTCCTATTTTCACTTAAATTCCTATTTTTTAAGTCCTTTGTCTTTGATTCTTTTGCTCTGCGAGCGTCCTATTTTCAGAATTATTCAGATTATTTTACCATCGCAAACATTTCGTCCTACGAGAATTTTCTTTTGCCTGCGTTTTTTCAGTCCTTGCTCTGCATCAATGTTCCTTTGCTCTGCAGCTATTTTCAGTCCTTTCTCTGCAAATTTTTTTCATTTGCTCTGCTTTTTTTCATAGTTCTGTTTTTTCAATCCTTTGCTCTTATTTTTCGAGTCTGCGAATTTTCAGTCCTTTCTTCATTTCCATTCCATCCTTTGTTGCGAGCGTCCTATTTTCAGTCCTTTGCTCTCTTTATTTTCAGTCCTTTGCTCTGCGACTTTCAGTCCTTGCTCTGCGGGCGTCCTATTTTCAGTCCTTGCTAGCCTTTTTCAGTTTTTGTTTTTTCAGTCCTTTGCTCTGCGAGCGTCCTATTTTCCTCTGCGATTTTTCAGTCCTTTGCTCTGCGAGCGTTGCTCTGTCCTTTGAAGCGTCCCACTTCAGTCCTTTGCTCTGCAGATAATCCTATTTTCAGTCCTTTGCTTTCCTATTTTCAGTCCTTGCTCTGAGCAGTCCTTTGCTCTGCGAGCGTCCTATTTTCAGTCCTTTGCTCTGCGAGCGTCCTATTTTCAGTCCTTGCTCTGCGAGCGTCCTATTTTCAGTCCTTTGCTTGCTCTGCAGTCCTTGCTCTGCTCTGCAGCGTCCTAGCGTCCTATTTTTCAGTCCTTTTGTCCTCTGCGAGCGTCCTATTTTCAGTCCTTTGCTCTGCGCTCCTATTTTCAGTCCTTTGCTGAGCGTCCTATTTTCAGTCCTTGTCCCATTTTCAGTCCTTTGCTCTGCGAGCGTCCTATTTTCAGTCCTTTGCTCTGCGAGCGTCCTATTTTCAGTCCTTGCTCTGCGAGCGTCCTATTTTCAGTCCTTTGCTCTGCGAGCGTCCTATTTTCAGTCCTTTGCTCTGCATCCTTTTCATTTTTCCTATTTTTTTTTCCTTTGCTCTGCATTCCTTTGCTCTGCATCCTTTTTTCCCTCTCTGCGAGCGTCCTATTTTCTTTCCTTAGTTTTTGCTCTGCATCCTATTTTCTCCTTTCTATATTTTCAGTCCTTTGCTCTGCAGGCGTTTTTCAGTCCTTTGCTCTGCGAGCGTCTTATTTTTTCCTTGCTCTGCGAAGTCCTTTGCTCTGCGAGCGTCCTTTTTTCAGTCCTTTGGTTCCTATTTTCAGTCCCTTGCTCTGCGAGCGTCCCTTCCAGTCCTTTTCCTATTTTCATTTTCACCTTTTTTCAGTCCTTTGCTCTGCGAGCGTCCTTTTTCATTTGCTATTTTCCCCTTTTCAGTCATCTGCGAGCGTCCTTTATTCCTATTTTCATCCTTTTCCTTTATCCTTTTCCTAATTTTCAGTCCTTTTTTTGCGAGCGTCCTATTTTCAGTTCTGCTCCTTTTTTCAGTCCTTTGCTCTGCAGGCGTCCTATTTTCTTTCTGCAGGCGTCCTATTTTCAGTCCTTTGCTTTTGCAAGCGTCCTTTTTCTTTCTTTTCAGTCTTGCTCTGCGAAATATCCAGTCCTTTTTCTGCACGTATGCGAGCGTCCCTATTTTCAGTTTCTCGAGCGTCCTAATTCCTTTGCTCTGCGATTTTCGTCTGTCATCATTTTTTTTGCTCATTTATTTAATATCTATTTATTTTGCTCTGCCCCTTTTCTGCAGATACTATCTTTTGCTCTGCAGGCCTTCCTTGCTCTGCGAGCGTTATTTTTAGTCCCGTTTTTTCAGTCCTTTTTCTGCGACTATTTTCAGTCCTTTGCTCTGCAGGCGTCCTTTTTTCAGTTTTTTTTTTTTCCTATCTTTTTGCTCCCATTTTCATCCTTTCCATCTTTTTCAGTCCTTTTCTGCGAGCGTTTTTTTCCTCCTGCTTTTTTTCAGTCCTTTGTCTGCAAGTTTTTCCAATCCTCTCCTTCTTTTTTCCTTTTCTTTTTTTTTTTCCTTTTTTTTCCATATTTTTTTTTTTTTTTCCTTTCTTTGTTTTTTTTCCTTCTTTCCTTTTTCCTTTCCTCTTTCCATTTCTTTTCTTTTCTGTCCTTATTTTCTATTCTTTTTCTTTTCCTTTTTTTTTCCTTATCCTTTTCGTTTCATCTTTTTTTTCTCTTTTTTTCTTCCACTTTTCATTCTTTCTTTTTTTTTTTTTTTCTTTCATTTGCAAATTTTTTTCATTTTTTTTTTTTTTTTCTTTATCTTTTATTCATGCTTTTTTATTTCCATTTTCTCAGTCTCTTTCATTCTTTAACCTTTATCCTTTCTTTTTTCAAAACTGTCATCATTTTTCAATTTCCCAATATTTCATTTTTTCTTTAAAAATCTTTTGTTACTATTCTCCCATTTTCTTTTTTTTTTAGATCTTTTTTCTAACTTCTTTTCTGTAATTCTTTTTCAATTTTCTTCCTAAATTGCTATCTTTGAAAATATACAGAGATTTTCCTTTGATATCCTTCCATCTTTTTTTTTTTTATTTCATTTTCTCATTTTTCAAATTTTTGCTCTTTTCCTCTTTCTTTGTTTACTTTCTTTTATCTTTATTTTTTCTTTTTTCTGTTATTAACTTCATTAATTTTGCACCTATATTTTGTGGCGACAAGTATGAAATTTTCATATCAAATATATATAACTAGATTTTTTATATGATGTTTATATTTTTGCATAGAAAAATAAACAAATGTAATTTTTAACTTCCACTAAAATGCAAAATCATTGCTGATGTTCTTAATCTTTAATGGAGAATGGAACTCGTAAAATATGGAGTTATAAACTTTAGTACTGTGGAACTCCTCTAAACCGTACATCCGAGGTGTTCGGTATTGAGGGTACTGTTCGGATTCGAGGAAGAAAAGGATTCATATTTATGTGAATACAAAAGTTTAGATTTGATGATGGGTCCAAATTCGAGGAAGTCTGGATTATGATATGTCCGGATTTGGGGAGTTTTACTGTAGTTCTATCTATCTTTTGATCTACTTCGAAACTTCGTGTATCGCAATATTGTATGTGAAACATTGATAAGTCGATTAAACTTTTAATAATCCATTGACTGTTATCGCTCATATTCTCTGTTTAGAACTTAATTAGCAAACATTCTGATCGCCTTGAAATAAGTTAAATTCTAGTAGTTTTACGTAGTTTGATAACACACATTGTAAGAAACTACCGTCATTCCTACCGTATTACATTTGTGATAAGGAATTTCCACTCGAACAGCTTCTTCCCACGAACCACTGCTCTGTGGAACCGACTCCCAAGAGGATGTTTCCCCGATCAATACAATCTGAACCTTTTCAAGTCTATGGTTAACATCTATACTCCCATCTTCGAAAAAATTACATCATCTTACTCTGTAACCCTCGTTCTCGACTGAACCTCAGAAAATAATAATAATTAACTGTAAAACAAGCGAGAATGTTTTTTTTTTTTTGTTTTTTTGTAATGTTGTCTGGGGTGGTCATTGAAATAATAACTAGAAGGGCAACTTACAAATTATAAGGGTTTATTATTTTCCCAAGCTACTGTTTCATCATCACTTTCATCGTCTAATATAGACTCACTACTACTGCAACTATTACTATAAACACTATCTTGAATATTCTAAAGTTCGGATTTGAAGATTAGTCCAAATTTGAGGAAGTCTAGATTATGCTATGTTCAGATTTGGGGAGTTCTACTGTATTTCATTTGGGCTAATGAGCTTTTTCGTGTTTATTGCCTTATCAGATCATGAAAACAAGTGTAGACGGGTACCTTTTGTTTTTGTAAACAAAATACTAATATTACTGCTGAGGGGTTCTCTCCTTTTTACGCAAATGGACTCACCAGGTATATACATATACTACAGCTACGTGAAGACCCGACAGAGCAAGACCGAAGAGTCGAATCCAGAGTGACAGAGTAAAAGGTTGTAGGTAACCGGAAGAGTGAGGGTGAGGTAACAGCGTTGTAGGAGTCACAGTGAGCGAGCACGTAGACTCAGTAAGAAGTCATACAGCGATACTTCAATACCAAAGACTGTATATATATTTTGCTACTAACCCGTATTCCTGGAACTACTAACCTGCTTTACCAGTTTGTATTATTACGTTAATATATTATTTTCATATCTTCATTCCTGGCGTTTGTTATTTATTGGTACCGGATTTCAACCCGGAATCCACAACAATTACCAATATTCATCAGACTCTGTCAAGGTCGACAACAGGTGTAAGAACATTTTTGTTGCTACTGCCTAGGAAAGTAAAGCAGATTTTGGAGACTAGCTTGCCAAAAGGCTTTCTTCTTCATCTAACTTTATGACATGCTAGTGACGAGAAGTTTTGTCAAGATATCCGACGACTGGAAAAATATCACTTTTTTAAGGGATTTATAATTGTTTTCCAAGGACATTAATGCAAAAAAACCAGGAATGAACAGACTCAGCTAGAATTCGAAATCAGTCTTTTTTTTAAAATATGCATTTATAACCATTACGCCACCCTGCATAAATGCTGAATGTTGTAGAAACGCTTGTTATAGTAATATCTCCCCACCCTCTCTCTCTCTCTCTCTCTGTGTGTGTGTATATATATATATATATATATATATATATATATATATATATATATTCCTTTGATATTAACTAAATTCACCTTCATGCAGCTCATGGTTAAATGGTGTGGGGTGAGAGATTTCGTTATCTCATCTGTCAAATGGGGAAGTCTGGCCTCCCTGTAAAATCAGCGTTTAAATTCCCGTCTTTTTTTTATCGTGCACCGGTGGCAAATACTTAACTGTTATAGCCACGACACAGGCTCAGATGTCGATATTTACAAGTTTTGAACTCTCATTTTGCTAACGGCAACATCATCAAATTTCATGCTTACATTGTTTGTTAATTTAAAATACATTTATTAGAAAAATATATATTCAGTTTAAATACCGGAATCATATAAGAATGATTTCAAAAGTCCGCACATTTCAGCTTATAAGATTTTTCGGGTTACTGTCAAATTGTGCCAGTTATTTTGGAAATTACTAAAAGCATCGATATCTGTTTCAATTTCATTCAAATTGTATGTACGTTTGCGTAGGCACATGTATATTTTGATACAATGACAAACCTAAAAATATTTCTGCAAAATTAAAAAAAAAAAAACTTAAAAAATAATTCTATTTATTACAGACTAATTTCCGAAAATTTCGATAAATTCTTTTAATTATCCCAATTTTAGGATTTTAGAGTTTAAAATATTTTTCTTATCCTCATGATTTTACTGCTTATCCCAAGGTAGGGGTTGTCTCGACTGAATGGAATGCGGAATATACTATTCAGGTGCCTTATTTCAAACTTAGTCAAAGTGTGTGTATGTGTGTGTGTGTGTGTATGTGTGGGTAAAATTGTTTTTGTTTGTTTTAAATTTTTTAATTACATATATTTTTACAATTTAAATAGACATTTGTACGTACTTACAATACATTTTATGCAAAGTCACACGCAGACAGTGTGTGACGGACAGAGAATCAGCTCTTCTGTTATATTATAGATTAAACTTGGCGATGAATGAATAGAGACAGCTACTTTCAGACACTAGTTTGGGAATCCCTAGGAGTACCACCTTTTTTTTATGTTCTTTTATTGATCTGATTGGGAATAATGATCTGCAAATTGCAAGATTCAATTTCCAATGAATTCTCAAATATATAGGTTTTCTAAAAAAAATGATGGTTTCAAAACGGCATTAGTATAAAAATCAATCCACTCTACGGTGGTGTCGTGTAAGTTGCCAACGTCTGCACAAGACAAGCATTGCACCCAAGTACTGAGCTCAAACTGGGATATGTAGCGCAGTTTAAGAAAATATCAACGTAATTAATATATAACAGTTATTTAATGCTGATATTCTCAAATTCATTCAAGGTGCCTTGTGCTATTTTTTCAGTAATCGCAATGAGATCTATTGGTTCAGAAGAAAAGTTCATAGCATTTTAAGGGAAATTTAAACACAATATGCATCAAAATACATTTATAAACTTTTGGGACGGGTTCCTCACACCAAAACAAGGACAAAAGTTCATATAAACATATGTCTGCAAATCCTTCGTTTTTGAGTTATTAAGTTTAAAGAAAGTTTACGGTAGATGGCGCTGTGTTGCCATGTAGACTAGGTTACATTTGTCATTCGTGTACATTTGTGGTTAGTCTGTCTTCAACGTTTAACGTGTGTAGTAGTGAGTTAACTGAGAAGTGTTCCATTTAACAATGGCAGGATATTCATATGTTGAGCAGGCAGATATGATTTTTACATACGGCCGCGTGAATGGTAATATGGCTGTATCAGATTGCATTTCCATACCGAAATCAGCAGAGTCATTCAACTTTTGCTGATGTTTATTGTCGTGTTGCTGAGACAGGATTCGTGGCACCACAAACTATGGATCAAGGATCACAGAGATCCGCTCGTACGCCTGACCACGAAGAACATATTCTGCAGGCTGTCGGAGATGATCCAGGTATCAGCACACATGAAGTGGTCCTAGCATGTTGTACATCTCATAGTACTGCATGTATGCTACTTCAAGTGAAGCTCCTGTATCCGTATCACTTGCAGCGTGTGCAGGGGCTTTCGCACTCTGATCACCAGTGGAGAACTTTTGCTGATGGTTTATTGCACAAACTGCCGATCCGTTGTTTGTGTTTTCAGGCTTGTTTACGGATGGGGCAACATTTGGAAGAGATGGAATAACAAATTTAATCAACCAACGTTTGTGCACGGGTCGGAATCCCCATGATAAAATACAGGCTAGACACCAGCATCAGTTTACAATTAATGTGTTGGACTATATGTTCTCCCAGCAAGTCTCACAGGAGCTGTCTACAAGGACTTTATTTCGAACACACTTCCAGACCTGCTAGAGGATGTATCCCTGCTAATACAAAGATGCGTGTGGTTCATGCATGATGGGATCCCAGCACATTTTGGTCACATATTTCACGATGCACTGGCTGACATCTACCATGAAAGATGAATAGGCAGGAGTGGGAGGCGGTTCCATGTCCCGCACATTCCCCTTACCTCAGCCCTTTAAATTTTTATCTATGGAGCCATTGATAAAATTGATTTATGCAACAGACATTAATAATGCAGAGACGCTTCATCAACGTGTCATGGGGGTCTGCGAAACCATTCGACGCCTTGTGGGAGTATTTGAAAAGGTTCACCAGTCAATGATCCAACGGGTATATGCGTGTGTAGAAGCAAGTGGAGGACATTTTGAACATTTGTTATGTGTTGCTGTGTTGAGGTACAACGATAGTCTTTTGGGTATATGTTTAT